GAGAGAAAAAAGTAAATAAGTGTTAAAAATCACAAAACTTGCCTTTTAGAGAAACAGTCTTTAAGAAAAAATCTAATCAGACAATGTACTTCATTTTCTAGTTTTAAGGTTTTGCATACCTCAAAGTGTGTCTAAAAGTATCTTGGCATGAGAAAAAAGCCAAAATCTGCCTTGTGTCAGTGAATAAGTGTTAAAATCACAAATTTATAGATAAGCTAGAGGCTATTTTAGATTTGTCTATTAGAGTTAAAGGGTTAAATAACATTTTCAACTGCTGTTCATAGTTACTGGATACATAACGAACCTCATCATTATCTCGATTTTCTACTTCCATTTTTTTATTTAACAGTGAAACGTCTTATTTTAGTACAGTCTAGTCAAAGGAGTTAATACTATTACTATATATGAAAGCAAGAATAAAACACATTTTAATTTGTTATGGTTGCTTAATTGAAAAACACACCATTCGCCACATTTTCAGAAAGACATATTACATTTGACCAAGTTAATGTCGTAGTGCATTCAAGGTAATAGACTTAACGATTTGCACTGCTGCTTCTTTCCGCGTTTCATTTACAGTGATCGGTTTATCGTTCAATTCACATTGCCCAAGTAGATGTTTAGGGGTCTCTTGGAAGTAAATGAATGCATTTTTTTATATCAGATAAGTGCATTAACATCACTTGCAAATTCTCTATCCTTTCACCCGCAACGATTATAATCTGCTTTGCTTCTTCTTCGGTTTCACCATTATTAGCTCTGAATGTAATACTTTCTGGGGCTTCTTGTGCTTCTTGTGGTCTGTAGAATACCTGGCATAGGATTTGTTTAGCTGTAAGGACGGGTACCATATAATTATCTTCAGAAGCTGGAAATTCTTACAAGTTCCCCCTCCTCAAAGTTCATTCCCGTAGCACCTTTCCCCCACTGATGCTAGTGACCCCCCTTTGTATGCTAATTACCCCTTTGTTCGAGGCGTTATCACATGTAGGTGTGTTCAGTTAAACACTGAGATTTTCAACATACTACTCTACAAAATGATTTTTTCATATTCTTTTGACAAACTATACTTGACTTTTTTACGGAAAATCATGACATACTTTAATGTGACTTATTCTTAATTTTACCATACTAAAGTAAGACTTGAAAATACTATATCGTTTTCTAGTTTTTTATATTATACATCCTTATTTATGTTAGTGTGCTGAGAAAACACAATAAGCAATAGCGTTTTAACAAGCAGTTTAAACTGTCTGTGTCAGTTTTACTTATCTCCATATTAAGTGATTATATAATATGACAGTGATCATTTCTATGTTTATTCATTGCAAATACTTAGTTACTTACCACTTGAACTGTTTAGCTCTTCAAGGTTAACTGACCTAATATATACACTTTTTTTGTAGTATTGTCACCACGTTCTTAAGAATTATATGGACGAGTTGGCAGCTGCCATGGCTGGACTGTCAATCAAAAGTTACCAGTTATCAAGCGATGGTATGGACAACTTAACAGCTAACTTGGCTAGACTTACTATGAGGAGTCAGCAGGTAGCAGATGAGTGTGTGAATGAAATAACAGCTGCCTTCAGAGGACTCTCCACTAATGCACAGCAGCTTCCTGTTAGTGCCTGCACTGAGAATCCTCAATACAGAGACAAGTCACTTTGTCCACGCTCCCTGAGACCCTCAAGCCCACTAATGCCCAGGTGAATAATATTGACAGTGATAACTTCTATGTTTATGCATTGCAAATACTTAATTATTTTTTGTTAGTTCTTTAAGGTTATATAACCATATGTTTCTCACCATGTAACAAGTGATCATTTGGAAAAATGTATCCCAGCCTTTGAAAAAACTCAAAGGGAGAGGACAGTGAAGGCCATGAAGCCAAAGCCAAGACGTGGTGGAGTGCTGCGCAGGTATGTTCTCTAACAGCAACACTCTATTAAACATGTCTTTATTGACTACAGCTTAAGTTCATCCTATCATAAGGCTAAAAAAGTATCTTAGTAACAAAAACAAAAGCAAAAAGCATTAATGTTAACAACGCCTCAAAGGGCGGACTCCTGAGTTCCATGGCACGTGGACTATTTATATCATCCAGGGCTCAACCCCAGTAAATACACCTCTCTTTATCCGCTCTCCAAGCCTCCAAGGGCGGACTCCTGAGGTCCGTAATGCCCCCCTAACATGACACTTAGACTATTTACATCATCTAGGGAAGCACACCAGTAAATGTAGCCTCATGTAACTTCATATAGGGATTCTTTAATAGTTGTGTGAAGTAATTAAACAATAAGGGGGTATTAAGATCTTTAAATTATAATTTTCCTCTCAAAGAGACTTCGTTGTACACACACACACAAACAAAACAACATTAAATAATGACATGATATTATAGTGATAACACATAATGTGTAGAAAGAGATCTCCTGTATGGGTTGATTGCGCGTTGATCTGTTGGTAAATGCTCATCTATCATTTTCAACCAAGCAGCATGAGGTCAAATTTAATAAGTAATAGTTTGTCACGATTTTACGGGGAAAAGTCAGAGCGCAATGTCACATCTTAAAGACAGCTTGAACTGGATAGATGGTTAGTCTTTTTTCAAACATACCATATGTTCTGCATGTTAGTATATTTGGCCAAAGCGGGTTAGGCCCCACTGCCCCACTCCCTCAATAGGGAAGTCACGCTTTGGGAAGAGGTGTTTAATTTCACAGATCTGACTTGGTTGCTGTTGTGATGGCTGTAGTAAGAGGGACGGGGGAGGAAAATTCATAGGGGGAAGAAGCAGAAAGATAACTTGTTTGTAAAACGGACAGCACGTCAGTTTCAGGAAAGATGACACCGGTTTTAGGCATGACATGCCAAATATCCTGAAGCCCTACAAAAAAAAGGTATATTGTGTTGAAAATATCGCAAAAAGTCGTAATATTGTATAATGTAATAGTTGCATGTTGTATTTTGATAAAAATCACTGTATATTCAAAAATATAATGGAGAGAAAAAAATATATATATATGTTATATATATGTATGTTGAAAAATATGAAAAAAGTAATGTTGTGTTAAAATAATATGAAAGAAATCAAAAAGTAAAGCATCTAAAAAACATATATTTAAAAAAGTAATGTTAGTCAAGTCAAGTTATCAAAACTGCATTGTTTCATCGAAACAGTGTTAAAATCACAAACTCTCCATTTAGAGTTTGATTCTTGAAGAAAACTCAATTCATTACAAATGAATGAATATTTTACCAAGTTATATAGTTTTCCATACATAAACGTGTATCTTACAGTTCCTTTGTGAGAGAATTACGCACAAATTGCAGTATTTTATCTGTTTTATGTGCACTGTTGGAGGAGCCTGTGACCTATGTTTTTCATTGACATATCTACACTGTAGCTAATGGGCATATGCCATAAAGCCTTGAAACTTGAAACTTAAAATGATCAGAAACTGCATTGTCTCACTGAAAACAGCTCTAAAGAAAACCCAATTCCAATAAAAGTTTTAGGTGACTTAGTGAATGAGAATTAACAGCTGATCGCAAGATCAGGAGGTGACAGGCAGGGGGGAGGGGAGGGGGTGGGAGGGGGTATGAGGGGAGACAGTCTCACACACCCAGACTCCATTTTTCATGAAGAGCCTCAGACGGAGGGTCTGAACCCGGCACAGATACTGCACCCGTTTCTTGACTGGCCCCCTTTAGCGCAATACCGCATCAGTTGCGCCACTTATGTGACATACAAGAATAGTGTGTGACAGACAAAAGAGTATGTGACAGACAAGAATAGTCAATTATAATGTCTACACATAATGTGTAGCAAGAGATGTCCTGTATGGGTTGATTGCGCGTTGATCTGTTGGTAATGCCTCGGGGTTCCGGTGGGCATGTAAACAAAATGCATAATGCTGTACTATACTTTGTGGCCTCAGCCCGTTGCATAGTGACGCTTATTGTTTAGGTGTCTTTTAATAAGCAGGTAGTCATATCATTAGCTAGAACTAGCTAGATCTGATCGATATGGGTATAAACGCTAGTAAAGTCTAATCTAGTAAAGTCTAATCTGACGGGGGAGACCCGCTGTTGCTGACCCGTTTATTATTCCCGTGTTATTGTAAATTACTGTACACGTTTGAATAGTTAATTAATCTACTATAATTAGTTGGTTTAATATCGAATCATATCAATTTGTTTCAAAGCTCAAATGACTGGCTTTTATCTAGTTTTGCATAGATTTCTATTTTTATGACTGACTCCACCCCCTCACTATCTTCAGGGGTGGGGGGCGACAGGGAGGATGTGACGCCTACTGTAAGGGGAGAGGAGGGGGTGGGTTGAGAGGGGTGGGGGCTGAGAGGGGTGGGGGCTACAGGGCGGATGTAACACCTGTATGTGAGGGGGAGGGGGGTGGGCTGAGAAGGGGTGGGGGCTAAGGGGGGGTGGGGGCTGAGAGGGGTGGGGGCTACCGGGAGGATGTAACACCTGTACGCGATAACACCTCGAACAAAGGGGCTCATTAGCATATCAAAGGGGGCTCATTAGCATAATTAGGGGGCGGGACTTAGAAGGTGTGACCTGTCACTTTTTTATGCATACTAATGTGATTGAAGCGGGATTGGTAACACTACTCATATTCCTGGCAGCTTTATTCTTCAGAGGGGAATTTAGAGCAGCATCACACATTCATTAAATACAAATAAAAGAAGTACACATTCAAAGCAGAACAGATAAGTAGCAGCAATAAAAATATGAATTAGAACAAATAGAAAGAATTGAGAAAGCTGCCAAATGATGGTCAGTATTGTACCAATATTATTTTACAACTTTGTAGTGCAGTATTGGGAGGGGCAAAAAGGAAGTAGCAGCCAGTAATAGCATTGTTACATAGAATATATTGCACAACAGTGATTTTATAGTCTGTGAACAATAACATTTTAGTATTACTTATTTGTATTGTTCCCTATAAGTTATTTTCCACTGTCTACACAGGTGCTTCACCAAAACCCTCGGTCACAATTCTTGAGGAAACAAAGGACTGGTCTCAGCTTCAGTGTGAGATTCTTGGAGCTTTCCCTAAACCTCTCCTCCAGTGGACGGACAGTTCTGGAAACATCCTTCCTGCTGCAGAGCCTCAGGTCTCAGAGAGAGGAGGCAGCTACGACGTGATCCTCCAAACTACTGTCACCAAAACAGACAGCTACAGCTGTGTGGCTTCACAGGAGGAGATCTACCATCAGACTAAACCTGCACACATCTACGCATCTCTCAGTGGTGAGATATCATTTAAATTGCTTATGTGATGTTTGTTTTTAGTAAACTGTTTAATGTGTCTTCATACTAAACCCAAAGAAAAATGAATTCACTTTTAGGAGCATGTACATTAACTCTGGTAATGCACTGATAGAGTATTTGCTGTACGTGATGTGAAGTCACTCTGATGGTTAGCTTCATGCTTGTTGCTCCAGTGTTTCAGATCGATTGGTCACTGAGAAGTGGAGCTTAGCTTTTACTCCTAAAAACCTCTTCTTTCTGAGGATGCTCTTTTCCTGAACATCACTAATATCTCAAATGTACAGATGTGTTTCTGATTATGATGATATTTAATACTACAAATGACAGACTGCATGCCACTGAGTCCCTTATTTACAGATTAATAAAAACTCTATAGGCATCATAAACTAAACGTCATGTTGTACAGGTATACCTCATAAAGTGAACACTGAATGCATCACTGACTAAATTCTGATTACACATGCTTTTTACTACCCTATATTTTTATAAAACATTTGACTTTAGTGTATTAAGAGTCAGTGTCTAATCACAAGGTCTGGAATGAAGCATTAGGATAGGAAAAGCTACTGTGGTTTCCCCTAAGGCTTTATATTTAAATACATGTCTGGAAGTCTAACAAAGGGAGACTGGAAACAAGTGGACTCAGAGGAAGTTTAATACAGAAAACCCAAAGTCCTCAATATTCACATCAGATGTAATACTCCTAGTACGTTACATAATATCCAGGTGTGTGTTCCAGTATGAGCTGAGAGTCTGTCTCTGCTCACAGAGGGGATTCATGCAGACTGAGAAATACATGATCACCTCAACCTGGAATATCAGACAGACGTATATGACTTATCAACTCAACTATCAGACATGAAGGCAGGTGAACACAATGTCTTACCTGTCTCACACAACACATTTCATCTCATGATAAATAGTGTTAGCATAATAAATGTAGTGTAAAAAGTTAAAGAACGTCTTCTCTGTAAATGTGCTTCTGTCATGAGTCAGAATAATGTTTGCAGATTTACTAATGCTCTAATCTTTAACAGAGTATATGTACATAAGTCAAGGCAAGGCAAGTCATGTGTTAATGTGTCTCATTGTGTACTAGGTAGTATGTATGATTCCTATCTCCTGAGGACCTGCAGGATGGAGTCAGAACAAAAGTCCTTACAGGGACAATCACGTTTATCGTATCATAAATCTGCGTTCATGATTCACGGTGAACAGAGGCCTGTACTACGAAGCTGGTTCAACCTAACCTGGATATGTTTGAGTTAGCCGGTTGGCCCAATCCAAAACATACGCGCTCTGGCTAAACTGTACTACGACGCTGGTTATCAAGTGGATCACTCAAGCCAGCCGTGTCCTATCTAGTTAGGTGCGCGTTCACATGAAAGGGGTGGTATTTGGAGCATTCGACCAATCACAAACATGGACAAGCGTACTGACAGCGCAGCGTCATACTTCCTGAATGAAAAGTGAACTTTAATATTAGTCAAATATGAAGAAGTTAAACTTTAAACATCCATGACTTAAACACTTTATCCAGGATAAAAGCCACATAGCTGCACCTGCAAGGTGAATACAGCTGGTAAAAGAAAAAGTGTTTGAATGCGTACATTAACAGGTTTATGAAATCACTGCCCCGTCCAAGACACGATCTGACTTTAATTACATTTGACTCCAGTGTTTCGTCAACTTAATGTGTTGCTTAAAATAATACTTCTGCATACAGTATGTGACACTGAGTGTTGCATGGCCAGATACGGCTCAGCTGACTCAGATAAGGAAATATATGATACATTATGATGTGATATGATATGAATGATAATGGGACACATCTACGTCTGCACTCACAGTGCCGCGGACTGTACTTAATGTTACTCTGATCCGGTTACTTATGTCGTGGCAGATATTTAAGTAAGCTTTCTTAACGCTAATATTATAATAGTCAGATTGCTCTGAAGATGGGAGGGGATATTCTATTAATTTTCACGTTCACGAAAATCCGGCTTCGTAGTACAGGCCTCTGCTCTGTGCTGACTTTGTGTTTCTGTTGTTGAGCGCTGCGATCAAACTTTAAATTATTTCAACTTTGACCTCGCTTACTGCTGACCTTTCAAGGCACATCCAATCAGAACAGCTGTACTAAGCGGCACACACTAGCAGAGGAGGAAACTTAAACTAAACTTTAACTGTTTTCACCACAAAGCTCTGCGGCCAACCTGGCAATTAGCAAAGAGCAAATCATGTGAATGCAGATTAATAGTTACCAAAGTTTAGGTAGACTTGTTTGAAATATCAGACAATGTCAGATAATGATAGGATGGGAAATTGAGACTTATATTGTGAGGGTTTCCTGTGTTTTGATTTAAAGGTAGGGTAGGTAAGAATGGAGAAACCAGCTCGAGTGCGCTAGAAGTACACAACCGAAAAAAATCTGCCACTTCCTTACAGAGCCCCTCCTCCAACACACACGAACGCGCACATGACCAATGAGGGCACGAGATAAGTCTGTGCACAGATGGAAGGCTGACAGGCAGGTAGGCCATCCAGTTATTTTAGCCGGGCCTGCTAAAATGATTGGTCGTGCTTTTTACAGTATTACCGCTTCCACAGATGACATTTTTTTAATGTATTTATTGTCAAAGCATTTCATGTATTCATTGCTATCGGGATGTTAAGAGCATTCCATGGAATATAACAAGTGTTTCTGAAGTGAATTACCTACCCTACCTTTATTCTTATACATGTTGATGATCTAATAACCATTTTCAAGAAAAGAGACGAGCAAACGACATCTAAATGTTTAATTTATTAAGCTGTATATCATCTGTTGTTTTCTATGATGTTCCCAGGTGCAGCTTCAGAGCCGTCTGTCACATCAATAAAGCAAACAAAGGACTGGTCTCTGCTTCAGTGTTTAGTTCGAGGAGCTTTTCCAAAACCTAAAGTGGAGTGGCAGGACAGTTCTGGAAACATCCTTCCTGCTGAAAAGCCTCAGGTCTCAGAGAGAGGAGGCAGCTTTTACATCACTCTCAACGCTAATGTGACCAAAACAGACCACTATCAGTGTGTGGTCACTCAGGAGGAGATCTACCATGAGAATAGAGCTGAGATATCTGTCTATATCAGCGGTGAGTAACATGTTCAAATATTTAAATGTGTCTTCAGACTGATCACAGAGTGAATTTCCTCTCAGCACCAGACGTTGTGATGAAGACCTCTGCAGGAGTTACAATGGTTTCAATCTGTCCTTGTTGGACACGCTTTAATTTATGTGAAAGTGTGAAACTTCTTTTGGTTAATTCTCGTTTTCTCCTGTTTATACGCCAGAGTAGAAGAAGTAAGAAGCCTGTACGTTTATTTTTCTTATTTGTTAGGCAAGATTTATGTGTTCAAAGATTTGTTTGTTATGTGGGTCGCCTCTTTGTAAAAACGTTGGTAATTAAAATGACCAAACGGCATTCTTTGTCTCGGTGTCCATGTTCTTGGGAGTGGGAAAAGTGGGGAGAGTGCAAATGTTGTGCTGCGCCTAGGTTCCCCTAGATCTGGGCGTAACACATGTCTGGCTCCTTCTCGTCGCCTGTGCTTGCCAGGGCAACACATGACTGGTGAGAGGGGGGGGGGGGGCTGTGGGTCAGTAGATGGCTGACCCCCCCCCTGGGATAGAGTGCACTTATGTTTTCCCATGCTCCTTAGGGACCTGGGGAACATGATTCGCAGTAAGCTCCATACAGAGTCTTCCGCACTATTTTTCCATGCACACTCTACACGAGGTAAGCGTGTGTGAGTGTGCTCTATCCAAGCTGCGGCCCTGACTTCTCCACGGTCACAACCGGATGGGAGAAGGTGGGGGTGCGGTGGCTGTTAACCAAAGGCCGGTCAGGGGCAGTGTGATGGGTCGATGTGGTTGGACGACAGGGCGTTTATTCATCGGGGCTCCACCCACTGTACCCATAGAGTCCAGTAGAGGGCGGAGCCTGTGTGATATATAACCAGAGATGGGGTCGTTACTAAAAAAAAGTAATATATTACATATTACATATTACTTTAAAAAAAAGTAATATATTACACTACTTCGTTACTCTCTACATAAAGTAACTCGTTACTTTACTCGTTACTTTACTCGTTACTTTACTCGCAGGGCCGGCCAGCCCCTCCCTACAGGCAGATCACGCAGACTGCTAAAGTTTCAAATGTTCTCTTTAGTTCAGTTTCCATTGTCGCATAAGACTGATCCAGATAGCTCTGACTATGGCTGTCCTCTGTCTCCTGCTATCTGTATTTTGCGCAGTATATCTCTGAACGATGCGATGGTGATTCCACTGTGCAAATGGGCAACATTACCTCTACTATGAAGGATGCTTCAAGCCTGTCCATCTCTGCTTTGGTTACCGGTCCTCCAAATTCTAATTTGTGCTGCTTCGGTCGGCGGCGGCGCACTCACAACATCCTCACTCTGGGTTCGGGGGTCCTTAGCTATTAGCTTCACATTAGCATGTGTTCTTTGCAGGTGTTTGTTGAGGTTTGATGTGGTGTTTACAGCAGTGGATAACAGCTTCTGGCCTGGACACAGTTTGCACCTCACCGTCACATTCCTGTCTATTCTTCGGACGAACTCAAAATAATGGGCATACCTCCACCCCTCGAAAGTTATCGCTGACTCTGCCATGTTTATGCAGCACTGCACGTGGAGATGTGGACGCGCAAGTCGCACAGATTACGTACATATAAACCTGCGGCGGAAACCCCTCTTGTCTGTCAGTGTGATTATGACTGATTTTATAAAAGTAACGAAGTAACGCGTGTCGGGGCAATGTTAGTAAATGTAGTGTGATTACTGAATTATAAAAGTAACGCGTTACACTACTCCGTTACCGACAAAAGTAATATTATTACAGTAACGCGTTACTTTGTAACGCATTACACCCAACTCTGTATATAACGGGGGGTTACGTATTGTAACCCTAGTTATATAAGCACATTTATACCAATAAATAATGTCAGTATTTATTTTTCAGTGTTCCCTCTGATATTTCACAAGCTATAAAACTATAATTGTGTTAGACTTGATTCTTTGTGAATGTGTGTGTAGAGCCCTGAGTCTTTCCCTCAGTGAGTCCACGTGTCCTCAGAGCAGAATCTGTACATGTTCTTTATAGAGTTTTCTGAATGAGTGAAAGTGTATTTGTGTTTGGAGGCTCTGCTGCATAAACCCAGAGTGAGTTCCCCTCTGTAGAAACATCAGGATGTGAATCTGCTCTTCACTGAGCTGCAGTCAGGGAGGAGGACGTTCTGTAGTTCAGGAGGAGCCCTTACGCAAAGAAAATATATTTCCCCATATATTAACTGTCAATATATTGCATTATTTTGTTTTCTGATTTACTGGTTAATTGAAAAGATTGAATAAAGGAAATCTTGCTGTTGGCTACACCAACTGATACTGATTAATAATCAACATGAAAAACATATTTATTCATATCTACAAAATATATTGAAGATATATAGAATAATATATTGTGTTAATATATTACAATATATTGATATATAGAATAATATATTGTGTTAATATATTGCAATATATGGCATAATACATCAGTAATTGCCGCTTTCCATATATTGAGTAATATATGTAAATATATATAATATATTGGTTGTGTATATATGTGAACATACATTTACTATATGTTAACATTTATATGGGGACATGTACTATATATATTCATAAATATATGGTGACATGTATGTACTATATATTCAGATTTATATGGGGACATGTATGTAGAATATATTCACAATTATATGGGGACATGTACTATATATATTCACAAATATATGGGGACATGTATGTACTATATATTCAGATTTATATGGGGACATGTATGTAGAATATATTCACAATTATATGGGGACATGTACTATATATATTCACAAATATATGGGGACATGTATGTACTATATATTCAGATTTATATGGGGACATGTATGTAGAATATATTCACAATTATATGGGGACATGTACTATATATATTCACAAATATATGGGGACATGTATGTACTATATATTCAGATTTATATGGGGACATGTATGTAGAATATATTCACAATTATATGGGGACATGTACTATATATATTCACAATTATATGGGGACGAGTATGCGCTATATATTCACAATTATATGGGGACATGTATGCACTATATATTCAGATTTATAAAAGACCATGTACGTACCATATATTCTGAACATGAGTGCAATATATGTTCACAATGAGGAGAAATGCATGTTCTGATAAAAAAAATCTTTAATTTAATTTCAAACCTTTATTTATGCAGGTGAATCCCATTGAGATCATTGATCTCTTTTTCAAGGGTGACCTGCTGCAAGTAGGTTCCACATGAATACATATAAACATAACAGAAAAACAAAAAAGGACATCATACAGCATATTTACAGTGACTACAGTTTACATAGCTAGTAACATTTACAGGTTCCAACAGTTTCCGATTGGATAATATCTATCCTTGCTTTAAAAACATTTAGTGGAACCAAATTGCTCAGACTGTTCCAAGTTAGCGGAGCTGCGCATCTAAATGCTATCTCCCCTAAGACAGTCCTAGCAGTTGGCACATTTAATAAAATCACAGCATTCGATCTCAGGCAGTAGCCACTTACAATTCGCCGTGAGATCAGGGAGCAGATGTAGGAAGGAAGTTTCCCTAACATGGCTTGTATATAAAAATGTACCAGTGACTGAGCCTCCGTACAGTTATGGCGCGTTTCCACTACAGCGCGGAGAACGGTTTAAGAGGGCTGTGACGTCAGCGGCCCGTCTTTGGTTGCGTTTCCACTTGGCCTAGTACCGGCCGGCGGGTCCTAATTCACAGTTTTTCTGGCCTCATAAAATCGTGGGTCTAGGGCCAGAGACAACGAGGCTGAGTCGGGCTGAGTATGCTAAACTAGAGAGAGCATCGCTGGCAAGGGGGCTACAACTACAACAAGATGGACATATTTGACCGGGATTTAATTGTAATACACGTTTCAAAATGATGCCGAAGTAACAACATACTGATACCGGTTAGTAAAAACCATGAATTAATGCTTTGTCAAGTCTGCAGACAGACGGCAGGCGAAAAACCTTTTAAAATGCGTGTTTTCTAAATGGAGATTGGCTAAGCTAACGCAGTATATGCTCCGACCGTCCACACTCACAACAACGGCCTATACAGACATAAATAAAGCAGCGACTGTATTCACCATGACACAGGCAGTCTGTGGTTTGTACTTGTTTAACTTTTGTCTAGTTTCTGAACATATATGAGGAGCTGTGAGCTTGAGTGCTAACAGCTAACGGCTGTGTTGTTTTTCTGGGGTTCTCATTGAAGATGACGTCACGGCTCCGCCTACACTGCGTTACTATAGATACTACCCCAGTTCCTAAACTGTAATGGAAATGCGCCATAAAGTGAGCTGGTCCTAACGAGGCCGGGCGCGGCCAAAGGAGGCCGAGCGGGGCCGAGCGAGGCCGTGTAGTGGAAACGCGCCATTAGTGAAGGCAAACCTGCCCTTGCATACAGGGTACAGTGATGGGTTAATACTTTACAGTTTGTCACAAATCTCAGTGCACTGTGATAGGCGGCATCTAACTTGACCAGGCAATTGGCAGGTGCATTCATATAGATCAGATCACCATAGTCCAGTACAGGTAAAAAGGTCACAGTGACTAGCCTTTTCCTGGCCTCAAGTGAGAAACAGGACTTGTTCCTGTAAAAGAAACCTAGCCTAACCCTCAGTTTTTTAAGCAGGTTATTGACATGAAGTTTAAAAGTGAGACAATCATCAAGCCAGATACCAAGGTATTTGTAACAGGTAACCACTTCAAGTTTTATTCCTTGCGTAATTACAATATCTAAAACAGGCTCTGGTGTCTTTTTAGCTTTTGAAAAGAGCATTACCTTGGTTTTATCAACATTTAAAAGAAGCTTAAGCGCTGAGAGCTGAGTCTGAATAATGAGAAGCTTAATTAGTTTTTTTCTATCAATGTGTAACAGTTATCAAAATACTCATTAAAAGAAGGACAAGGAAAGAATAAAAGAAAAGGCCTATAAACAACACATTATGTAATGACTCAAGAACATTTTCATGTAATTATGTAATAAAACCCACATTTTGTAATAATCTGCTGCATTCTGTAACAGCCTGAACGCAATATAAAATTAATTTCCCTGCATTTTGTAATAAATTATTACATTTTGCAATGGTTATTACAAAATGCGTGAGTTGCCCTTTTAAAAAACTGTAATATTCATTATGTAACCATAACCAAACTGTAAATATATCCGAAAATTGATGTTGATATACATGTTGGCTAATGAATATGGTAACACTTGATCTAGTTTTGGCCAATGAAAGATATTCTACTGAAATATTTTTAAATTATGAGTAAGGATGATTCATGGTTGAATAAATAAATAAACAGTTGTAATGTTATTGTTTGCAACTCATTTTGTAATAACCACAGCAATATGTAATAATATATTTCAAAATGTGGCGACATGTATTACATATTTGCATTGAACTTGTTTACTACATAATGGGCACATTATTACAAAAGGAGGTGTTATTACATAATGAAGGGAAAATGTATTACATTTTGTATAGGTATAGTTAATAAATGATGCATTGTTATTTCATACAGGGCCAAAAAGAGCAGTCTGTTATCCTATTTAACAATCTTGTTTTTTGTTTCACCTGGTGACAACTTTAAACATGAGCTGATCACTCATTAAAACAAGGTCCGGAACAGGGCCAAACAGTCTTGTACCCTATTTGATCGTCAATCTTGTTTTTTTCGTGCCTTAACTCACAAATTCTTGTGTTAATGGATGTTCTTATATCTGATGTCTTGGTCCCTGGATGGTGGTTTACTACAGCATCTGTGGAACAGAACAATTACAAATAATTAGAAGTTCACAAAAGACAGCAGGAATTATAACAATATCCATAATATCTATATTAAAGCATGGGCTGGCTTGGTGAATAATGTGGGAATACAAATAGTGGAAGAATAGGCTTTGTACATTTTCGTCTGAGTGTGGCGCTACTGGTTGGTATATTTTATGGAATTTGGACCAAGCATCTGCATCTGTAACAGTTCTGTTTAAAACTTTTTTAAATGTAATTGCATTCATCTTTAAAGGTGGGGTAGGTAAGTTTGAGAAACCGGCTTGAGATACACTTTTTGTTATATTCCATGGAATGCTCTTAACATCCCGATAGCAATGAATATCTTAAGTGCTTTGACAAAAAATCCATACAAAAATATCATCTGTGGAAGCCGTGGTACTGTAAAAAGCACGACCAATCATTTTAGCCGGCCCGGCTGAAATGACTGGATGGCCTACCTGCCTGTCAGCCTTCCATCTGTTCACAAACTTATCTCGTGCCCTCATTGGTCATGTGCGCGTATGTGTGTGTTGGAGGAGGGGCTCTGTAAGGAAGTGGCAGATTTTTTCCGGCTGTGTATTTTCAAATTCTAGCGCACCCAAGCTGGTTTCTCCAAAATTACCTACCCCACCTTTAAAAGACTACTTTTATTGAATGAGAGTTTTACCTAGCAAAATGAGCCTGGGGTGGTGGGAAGGGAGAACTGGGCCTCGGCATCGGCAGGAGTTGTAGTCGCCTATGAGTATTAGAATTTAGATGAACAAAGGCATAGAAAAACCCTGAAATATGTACTGACACAAAGCTACAACCCTCGATTTTGTAAGTAGTAGTAGTAAATACATACGTATATACAATATACAACAATACGCATAGTGCAATTAGCAGTACCAGTAATAAAATAACTAAATAAATAGTAGTAGAACCTTTATTTAGCCAGGAAAATCAATTAAGAACAAATTCTTATTACAATGATGACCTGACAGGAGGCAAAAGGCGTCCTGAGGGGATGGGGTTTGGGAGGAAAAAATAAAAAGACAGACTCCGGGCACTACAGAACCCAGGAGACAACACAATGACACAGAGCAGAGATGACAGGCATAGCAGTTAAACATATAAAATCTCTAAAACAATATTGCTGTGGTTCAATCTGTCATTAAAATAATATAGAACATTCATCCATTCAATCATTCATCCATTCCTTCATGGCAAGGATAACCAAGCTGAATAGTGAATAAAGTGATATGTGAAAAGTAAAGCAACATTTTGTAAATGATGTCTACATGTCAAATATAGTTAGATAAGATAAGAATAGCATGTAAACAGATGTATGTGTTCTATACATAAGTAAGTAAATGCACGTCACAGAGTTAAGGAGTTTCACAGTCTTCTGGCCTGGCCCTGAGTCTGTTGGTTTTTGTCCAGAGTATAAAGGCCCTGACACACCAGGCCGATATCGGCCGTCTTCGGTTGTCTGGCGACAAAGCGTGCCCTGTCGGCCAAAGTCAATTTGGTGTGTCCCGAACCCTCGGCCGTGACACACCTTATTTGGCCTTTCACGGTCGACACATGGCCGATTCAACATGTTGAATCGGCCATGTGTCGGACACAAGCTATCGGACCAAGAAACCACTCTGATCAGCTGTTCAGCTAGCAAATGAGAAGCGAACGGAAGTGAGGGACGTAAACAAACGATTTAAAAAAGGCACAGGACAGCAGCTAAACCCCAGCAGGTGATACTTAAAGACATCAAACATAGCCCTTAAATGTCCTCTCTTACCTCCCACACATAGCAGGGACATCTCTGATATCGGCGGGAGCGTCCCCGGCTGTCCTCTGCTGAGAGCTCCGTGATTTGTTTGGTCAAGTCCGGTTTTTCATCTCATCGGTTTATTTGTCAGTATAAAGTTGCAGGATTAGTCTCAAGTACCTCAACATTGTCCTTAAGTACAGTGTCTAAGTAAATGAGATACTGTCTACTGCTGTTCATTTACCTATTGTGAGTCGCCTCGGATAAAAGCATCACATGGAAATGTAAATTTAGCAAGAAGTGGCCATTATTACATTACATACATTACTACATTGCTGACTCAATAAACTACACACCCGCCAGAACACTGCGATCATCAGATGCAGGTCTATTAACTGTGATTTTATAGTATGTCTGCACTTTATGTGCTCATTTCATCATTCATGTATTTTTATATTCTAAAACATGTTTTCGATGGACGAGAGTGAAAATGGAACGCACACGCTATTTGTTTGTTTATATCAGTCTGTTCTTCTTCTCTGTCTTCCGGTTGTTGCCTATTTTGAATGACGAATACACACTACCGCCGCCTGCTGGTAAGGAGAGTTATTGTCACTCACGCATGCGCAGTTGGTACGTGCTCGGCTGAAGTCTTTGTGGTGTGTTCCAGTGCGACACATGGCCAATACGCAGGAGAACTCGTCGATGCAACAGTCGATGTCGGTGTCGGCGAGTTCTCTGGTGACTGCCTGGTGTGTCAGGGCCTTAAAGGAGTAGCTCAGCTTTAGTTGTTCAGACTGTGAGCCTCAATCTAATGTGAACTATATCCACTCACTTTCTGAGTTGTATTTACTTTTTGTCTTCAGATTCAGGGTCCCCCATTGGATGGATTGTTCTCTCTGCAGTTCTCGGCATTATTGTAGTTGTTGGTGGTGTCGTTGTTTACAAGGGTTACATCAAACTAAATCATCTTAACAGTAAGTTTGATATCAACATATCCAACAGATTCTTTGTATTTCTATATGTTGAATCTTGACAGTAGTTTTATTGTCTCCATCATGAAGTCTTCTGCTGGTATTTTCACCCTGAGTAGCATGCAGTCAGGTGGGATCTTCCTGAATATCATTGTGTTTTCCTTTCTGCAGATGAGATGGAGAATCTTAAAAAGAATGAAGAGAGAAACACGCCTGCTGCTGATTCTTCAGCAGGTCCAATGATTTCAGATCATACCGTACCATGAAGGTAACCAGCCTCACCTGTGCTGAAGTGTGTGTGTTTACACTGTACTGTGT